TGCACCTGCTGGGGCAGCCCCAGAGCACCAGAGCCCAGAAGCCCGGAAGCTGTCTCCTCCAGGGGCTTCCCATCATCTGCCCCAGCACCTGCTGTACCGCACCCGGACACGTCACGTTGCCCTGTGGTCCCAGGGTAGCTCCACACCCTCCTATCCCCCTCCTCGTTCCCACCCTGGACAGGGGGCGACCCCGCCCCTGAACATAGCCTACCCGGCTCCAGGCAGGGCTGACCCTTAGAGCTGTCGGAGCATACCGCGGTGCTCAGGGACCCAGAGCGTCACACAAAGTGGTGCCTCGACCACTGCACAGTCCCCACTCCTCACCAGCTTACGCCCCAGGATCTTCAGACCCTGGACCAAAGCTTTGCCATCCTGCACACCTGCATCTGCGCTCCGATAGGCATAGGGTCCACGTGCTCCCTCCCACCTCCGCAAAGGATGGCCGCAGACCGCGCCTCTAGGGCCGCCCACCTCCTCTGCTCCCCGCGGCCATCTCGGGGCACGCGGGAGCCGGGCCAGCGGGGCATGAGGCCTCCGGTCACGACGACGCACAAAGCCCACGTCCCGCGAGCGGAATGCGCCGCGCGCCGCCGGCCCGCCGGGCGCAGGAACCGGCTTTGTGGGGCGGTCACGCCGCGTTAGGCGCACAAAGGCCGAGCAGTACGCGGCGCGCTCCCGCGTCCTAGCAACCCCGAGGTATGCGGCGCCCGGGCCGCGGCCGCAATCCCCATTGAGCCGCGCGGCGCCCACGGCGAAGGGCGTGTGAATCGCAGCAGCGAGCCTGCTCCTCCCCAGCTTAATCTTGTCGTCGTCGCGGGGACATTGTGCTCCGAGTCGGCCCGGCGGGGCGGCAGCCGGCCCCCTCGGGTCCAAAGCCCCCGCGCCAACCGCTGAGAGGCAACACATAACGAGGGGGTCAGGGGTCGCACTCGGGCCTGTGCGTGGGCCAGGGACACACAGGGCGGGTGGTGACAGACCACCCCGAGGGGAGATGGGCAGGCAGGGGGGCAGCTGCTGAGAGCAGTCGTCCAGGCCATTGGCAAGAACTAAGGTCAGCCAGCACTGTGACCACTAGGTGCTGTGTGCGAGGTGGGCCTGGGGTTCAGGATGCCGGCTGGTGAGTGAAGTGCAGGGAACCCCAGGATAAATTGGGCCCACCCCTGGGGCCAGCAAACAACTCCCACTCTCCCAGGCAGAGAAACAGCTTAGTGTTGGCAGACATCCAGGGCTGCCAGGGCCTGGATACTGGAGCCCTGCAGAGGATGCCCTGGCTTTAGATACCATCCGCCCCCCTCCTCAGGAGTCAATGACACCAGCATCCTGCCAGTCCCAGGGCAGCCAGGCCCACTCACTGCTGTTTCATCCTGTCTTAGGGGACCTGGGACTGACCAGCCTTCCCAAGACTAGCTGTTCTGTCCACTTTGCCTCACCAGGGTCAAGAGATGGGTGTGTCCAGGGCCTGCCCTCAGGGACAGATAAGCTGATGTGTGCCCCCCTCTCCGCCCTATTCCCAGCACTTGGGATTCCTGGCATGCTTTCTACACCGGGAGAAGGCTCTCCACAGCCGACCATGGTGAGCAGGGGTGTGGGCACCTGCGCCTTCCTCCACCTCCTCACATGCCTGTTCACATGCAACACTGATCCGCTCACATACACACATCTGCATACGGACATGCGCAATGCACAGTAACACGTGGACACAAGCATGCACACGCAGGAGGCTAGGGCCTCTCACAGCCAGCTGGGTGGCATTAGACTATTCAAAGAACTGCCTCAGCAGGGGTGGCCAGGCACCCCATAGTACCTCCACAATGCAGGGGTGACCTCTGACACGATTAGGGTTGCCCTGAACCTAATCCAATCAGATTGATTACTGGCAAGCACAGTCAGCAGCCAGACAGGGCCTCCACAATGGCCTCCCAAGCCAGCCTCTCTGTGGTCACCAGGGCCCAGGGATTCCTCTTTTCTGTTTTAATCAGGTGGAGTGGTGGTCAGGGAGGTCCAGGGAGCTCGTTCATTCAACAGCAAGGTGGGGTACAAAAGAAGAACCTAGAGGGAAGGCAGGAGGCAGTAAAGTAGGATTGGGGGTTAGTAGGAAGAGGCAGTGGAGGAGGAAGAATGGGCATAGTGGGAGGAGGCAGTTGAGGAGGAGTAGATGGGAGGGGCAGTGGAGGAAGAGTGGGGGTGGGTGAGAGGGGGCAGTAGAGGAGGAGGAGTGGGGATGGGTGGGAGGGTGCAGTGGTGGAGAAGGAGGATTGGAGGTGGTTTGAAAGGAGCAGTGGAGGAATGGGTAGGTGGGAGGGGGCAATGGAGGCCACTACCTGAGGTGACTCTCACACCAAGGATGAGCAGGGCTCCCCCAGGCCTCCGTGGAGCTTCTGCATTTGTCCAGGCTCCTTAGGATGGGACTCCACCCCACCCCCAGGCACCTGTGTCCCTGTGGAGCTGCCCATTGGTTTCAGTGGGAGATCCTCATCCACTGAGCTTAGATAGCGACCACATGGGGTCAAGGCCTTAGCCGTCTTCCCTCCTGTCACACACAGCTGCTCTGACCTCTGACCTGCAGCAAGCCCTCACCTCAGGGACTTGAGGGCCCTGACCTCTGAGCTGCCTCAGCCAAGACATGGCAGCCCTTGAGAATATCTCCCTGGCTACTTCACTCCTGACAAAACTTGGAGGGCAAGGAGTCAGTCTCTGGTGTGGGGGTAACGCACTAGCACAGCTGGCAGGGAGAAGGAGGAAGAAGGAACCCTGAAGGGGCTGTGGAAGGGGCTGGGTCATGGCTGTGGGCACAGCCTTAGGGCAGAGCCGCCATGGTACTGGAGCAGTGCTCACAGCTGCAGGAGTCATTGATGGAATGCTCCAGAACTCCCCTAGGACCCCAAGTCTTTGGACCTGGGGACAGAGGTGGGGTTGCCCATTCCCTAAGCGGGTGTATGTACAGGTGAGGACTGAGGCTGATTAGCTCAGTGGGGTCTGTTGGATGAGGACGATCTGTCAGGCATAGATGGTGCCCCCAATTTAGTCTCCCAAGGTGGCCTGGCAAGGTGCTCAGCACTGATAATAGGCCCTGGGGGTTGCACCCCCTGCCACAGGAATGGCTCCCAGCCCAGCCTCGCCCATTGCAGCTGTTTGGTGGTGAATGGATGCTATTTCTCATGGCCTCTTTATAATGCCCCTTTCTGATAAATAAGTAATGTTTGAAACACAGGCAAACCGTGTATTCACAGATACCACCAGTCTATATGTAGGAAATTCTACAGAAAACACACAAATTCTCAGAACTAACAAGTCAAGCAGTGCCATAACATGGTATCAAATGTAAAGCATGGTGCTGGGTGCAAACCTGCAAACACTACCTCGGGTGTTTCATGAGACACACAACCACTGCCTTGCCTCGACCCTGGTCCTGACCCTAACCCTGAGCCATGGCCGCCGGGCCTGACCTTGTCTGCTGCCCCTTCCCACCCTTCCTGATCTCTGTAACCACTGTGCCACTGTTTCCTCCTACCAATCTTCACATGAGAACACGTGTTGCTTGTGCTTCTAGAATGCTGAAGTTGCTGACATACAGCCACTCTGGTGTGGCCTGCACACTGTTGGGGGACCATGCTCTATAGACATGCCAATCAGTAAGAAACCACCCTAATCCCCTAAGTGTGCACAAAAATCTATTACAACTACATAAAAATTGTAAAGTAAAATTTTCTATATTTAAAAAGTTGTGTTTCCATATATCAGAAATGAGTAAATAAGATAAAGCTAACAGGATAATTTCATCTGCAACAGCATTAAGGAATGGAAGCACTTGGAAACATGCCAACGAGGAGTGAAGGACTCATGTGCTGGGAAGCCCCAAACACACTGCTGCAGTAAGGGTAGCCTCTGCCCCTCACTGGGAGCCATCCAACTTGCTCACTGCGATCCCAGCAGAGGGCTCAGGCTGCTGCTTGTGGAGAAGAAACAACCGACCCTGAGGTTCAGAGTTTTAGGAAACCCAAAGAGCTAGACAGTCTTGAGCCGGGGATACCCCTTCCCTATTTCAGTTCTGTCCCAGAGCTGCATGAACCCTCAGGCTGGGGGGACACTTACATCACCAGATGTAAGTGCAAGGGCCAGACCACTGTGAGCTCAGGCGGGCATGCCTGCTTCCACCAGGCATCTAAACAAACTGGGCTTCATCTTGCGGTTAGGTTAGGGCACCACCGGGATGCAGCACCCTGGTGGGCACTGGTTTAAGTCCCTGCAGCTCCACTTCTGATCCAGCTCCCTGCCAATGTGCCTGGAAAGGCAGAGGAAGACTGGACCCACATGGAATTCTGAGCTCCTAGCTTTGTCCTGGCCCAGCCTTGACTGCTGTGGCCATTTGCCAAGTAAGCTAGCAGAGAGAAGATTTCACTATACCTGCAGCTCCTTAAAATAAACACACCTTGAACAACAGCAACCTACACATTCACTTGTGTGGCCTATGGACCAGCACAAGACAAGAAACACTGGAGATCAGACCTGGTCAGCATGTGGAGTCCAGAAGCAAGGGCAGTCCTGCAGCTCCACAACAGATAGGCAGGCCAACTAGGATGCTTCTCCAGACATACACACCCAACAGGCCCACCAGATACCCAGCATCACCAGCTCTTAGGGAGGAACACAGCCTGGAGCCTTGGGGTGGCTGGAGGAGCAGGGATGAGCCTTACCCCAATCTCTCTATGTCCATCTCGGTTTGCCTCTTTCTGCCTCCATTTCTGTCTCTTTCTCCTCCTCCCTCCCCATCTCTGTCTCTATCACTCTCTCCTCCCCCACTATCTGTTTCTATCACTTCTCTCTCCATTGTCTGTCTCCCTCTCTGTCCATATCTGTCTTTCTGTGTGTGTCTGTCTCCTTTTCTCTTCCTGTCCCCGCCTCTCCATCGCCACAGGGTGGGGACACAGTCAGCAGGATCCTTGGTGGCTGTGTGGCCAACCTGCCCAAAGCCCTCCCCACCACCAACCTGAGCCACTTACCTCTGTCCAGCACAGGGCCAAAGATGGCCAGGCTGTCCACAGTGGTGCAGTTCCAGCGGCGGCCACGGAACTGGTGCTGGCACTCCTGGACACCCAGCCGCACACCCTCTGCCACGCTGGGCATGATCTCCATGTAGTTCCTGCAGAAGCGCAGCTGCTTGGGCACCAAGCCAGGGATGCTAGCACACAGCACAGGGTGTGTGCCCAGGGAAGAGTGCTGGGGCCCGACAGCCAGGGACCTGGTAGGTGGGGGGGAGGCAGACAATCAGGATCACCAGATGCAGGACACCCAAGGGCCAGCCTCCCCAGGGGGCAAGAGGGAGACCTGTTCCACCCCATGTCCTGGGCATAGCTGCAGCACAACTCCAGAAGGGCAGCCAAGTGGGGTGCAGCAACACCTGTGGACACTGGGTTCCCAGAGGCAGTAAGGGTGGTGACTGAGGGATCTAGCAGGTGGCCCAGGTTAGAATAGGGCACCCAATGGTCAGGGGAAGGAGTCTTCTGGGGTGGGAGTATGGCCCAGGCAACATCACATCCAACCCTATTTCCCGGGAGTCCCATGTGCAGGGCAACAGGTACAAGAGCATTACTAGATGGATGGGATGGTTTGGGCCCCCCCCAAAGAGTCTTCCTCTCACCTCCCCTCAATATCTGTAAGCAGCAACATGGATGCATGTGAGCCAAAGGGGCAGCCTGCCCACAGGTTCAGGGCATAAACACGCACCTGCATCTCCATCCCACCTTAGCCTGTGTCCCTGGTCACCACTGCAGGTGTTTTTGAGCCCAGGGTTCCCATGTGACCACGCATGGGAAGGCCTACCCAAGACACCTGCTGCCACTACTGGCAGCTGTGAAGTCATCCCCTCTGCCCACATGGTTGCCTGGAGGTCACCCTGTGCCCTAGCCAGGCACTCAGCTTCTGCAGTACCACACATAGCCTGGTCAGCTGGGTCACCACAGGCATGAAGGGAAGCTCTCATCTCTGCATGTGAGAGGCCAGGCCAGGCCAGACCAGGTACTCCAAGCCCAGAGAGAACATTGCCCAGGAGAGCTCCAGGGGCCGCTCCTGGACAACACCTGCTCTCCTTCTCTTCAATCCAGACGCTACCCTGCCACCTCCCTAGCAGCTGAGTGTCCCCCTCAGCGTCACTTTCTCTGTCCATCATTCTACCTGGTGGCCTCTCTGTCTGGGCCCACTGCTACCTATGGGTATTGAGCATGCCTGTTCCTCTTAGAGTTTCATCCTCACTGACCCAATGTGGGCCTTGGCCTCTAGCCCACAGACCAGTTCTGAGCCCTGGATGTCCAGAGCCCCGGTCGGAACACTGGGCAGGGGCTGGCTGGGGCAGATTCTCCTGGCAGCCTTGGCAGCTCGCTGGTTTCCTTCAGCCTCAGAAGGACCATGGGTGGAGGTGGCCAAGCTCCCTACCAGTCATGCTCATACTGGGTGCTTTGAGAATCCAGAAGTTCAGCACAGGGCCTTGAGGCAGGGTCTAACGGCCCACTTACCCAGGATTGAGGGGCTGGCTTATCTGCCCCAGGATCTAGGAACCTTCACTTCTACTCACCCACAGGGTGACTGACACTCCCCACGGATGTTCCTTGTGAAGCTACAGGAGTGGAAGTAATGTGTCTGCCTGTGTGTTCCGGGTGTGGTGTGAGTGATACACCTGCCAACATGATCCAGGTGCGGTGTGAATGACACGCCTGCTCATGTGCTCTGGGTGCAATATGATGTACCTACTCATGTGTTCTGGGTGCAGTGTGAGTGACTTGCTTGCCTGCGTGCTCTGGGTGCTACATAAGTGACATACTTGCCTGTGTGTTCTGGGTGTGGCATGAGTGATACACCTGCCTTTGTGCCCAGGCGTGCAAGTTGCTATCTGTGTGGGAAGGTAAGGTGATGGAGGTTGAGTGGAGGGACAGGTGGGCTTGGGTCTCTTAAGGTGGGACCAGTTGTGTCCCTGGTGCTTCTTGTCTTCAAAAGTGTGGGGGAGGCATGTAGGTTCGGACTGGGGCCACCGAGGGCCCTGTGACTTCATTCATTCATTTATTTACCTGTTAAAAGGGAGCACGAGTTTCCCCCATCCTGAAGTTGGAGCTGCCAGGCTAGGGGACTGCGCGGCCTGGGGCAGATCCACCAGCTCCCTTCCAGCCTCACCCGGGAGACAGGTGGAGCGGGACTCATGAGTGTGCAAGCCCTCCCAGCCTCCCGCCTCCGGGGTGCTGAGTCAGCTCGCCCTGCTAGGCTCCTGGGCAGGCCCTGGCTCGTCGCCGCCTCAGCAAGCTGTGGAGCGGGCAGCAATGCCAGCTGCTCCAGCTGCCCCAGCCTCCACCGACCCTGCCAGGCCTCTCCTGCTCAGCTCTGCAGACCTGCGTCAGGGTCCCGGAAGGAGAGGTCAGGCAGGGTCTCACAGGAAAGACTGGGTGCTGAGTGGGGGAAGGGTTCAAAGGCTGAAGAAGCTGCACTTACCACAGGGGACCCTAGCCCCCGTCGGGACCAGTAGGCTGAGCCAGTTCTCAGATCCGCAGATGACCCCACTGGTCTCAGCTCCAAAGGGAAGAAGGTGCTGGTGACTGGTCAGGAGCAAGGCTCCTGTGCAAACCTAACAGCAACAGCCATGCCAAGTTACTGCCTGGAGGGGTTCACAGTGGGTATCAGGCCTGACAGCTGCACTTGTGGTTGCAAGATCCCTGCTCCAGACTCCCATTGCTGCTGGTGCATCCATCCTCTAGCTGGCTGCCTCTGTCCGCATTCAGGGATAACCCAACCCCTTTGCCCAACACTCTTCTCCCCTTGTACCTTTTTATTCTGTCCAGGACAGTGTGGGATGCCCAGGGGTCTGAGACACCAGTGAAGATATGGGTTAATGAACCAGAAACCCGGGCAGGAGTTGGGATGCAGCTGCATGCTGAGGATATCTCGGAGTGGCCAGCGCAGAGCAAGAAGGTGTGGAATGCTGGGCAGGGTGGGGGGATGGACCCTAATCCCTGGAGTTTGCAGGGGGTTCCTGGCAACGCCTCAGCTGTGCACAGCCCACCAGTTACACTCCAGGGGTCTTCTCACCTGAGGGCTTCTCAGGCGTGTAAATCAGGCCCCAGACAGGGGCCGTGGGCATTAGTGGGGTCACTCACCAGAGGGACTGGGTGCTGGGGTCCAGACTGGAGCCTGCTTTTGGCCCACTTCACACCCACTCCTGGCTCCCTCTGATGTGGGCATGGCAAGATCTAGAGTCTACTGTGAGCCTAGCAGGAGAAGCAGGGCTGGCATACACCATCACACCTACACCTGAGGGTTCATGCCAGCTGCCTCTCCTCAGCCCCATAGGGAATAAGGCTTGCAGGAACAGCAGCTTCAGCTGCTTATTGGGACACCAGAGTGCAGTGTCCCTCCAGCCTCCAAAGCTCAACATGTCCCCAACAAGACTGTAGCCCTTGGGCATCCCCAGACCATCCCAACAAGGCTGTAGCCCCTGGGCACTCCCAGACCATCTCAACAAGCCTGTAGCCCCTGGGCACCCCCAGTCTATCCCAGAACTGTAGCCCCTAAGGGTTTCCCAGACCATCCCAACAAGAACCCAGCCCTTCTGGCTCCCCATCTCTCCTCTGCCTTCTGCCATGGCTGGGTAGGAAGAAAGCTACAGCCCAGATGTTGGTATAACCACCAAGGGGACAGTGAAAAAGATCTCAGAATGGCCATGCTGTCAGGAAGGCCTTGGGGAGTCCCTGGGGGAAGGGGGAGCACTTTGGTGGCTGTGTCAGGCCCTGGCCTCCTTTTCTGTCCCCATCAGGCCTCAGGCTCATTCTGTTTCTTTCCCTCCCACTCAAAGCACAAACACAGTGCCATGTAGAAGTATGTTGGGGGGTGGCCCTACCCCCTCTGCCAGGTCTCGACCGTGGCTATGGCCATGTGAGCCACGCCTGCAGCCCATAAGCACTAATGGTTTTCTCCCCCATCCCTTACTCCCGTGAAAGGCCGGGCGCCCGGCCAGGGCTGTGGCAGAGGCGCTGGCTGTGACATGCAGGGAAGGAAGAAGGCGGGCGGCTGGCCAGCAGAGGCCTCCAGTGTCTGTTCAGTCCCATGTGAATTCTGTCGTCTTTGTGCATGGCCCTGCAGGGAACCAGCTGCTACCCAAGGACAGAGGCTTGGGAAAGAGGTGGGCTCAGCCACGGGGACCACACTGCTGCCTGCCAGCTATGGTGTCTCAGGTTCCCAAGTCCTGGCACATTTTCCTTGGTAGTTGCCATTGGCATACCCCAAGTGGCCACGCATGTGTCTTGGGTTCCCTGAGAGTAAGCTGGGTACTGACTGCGTACTTCAGTGTGACTCTTCTGAGTGCTGCGGCCCCCTGCCCCTCCCAGGCCTATGGGGCACAGTGGTCAGACAGCTTATATCTGAGTGGACAGGAGAAGTGGGTCCACTACCAGACTCAACTGCCTGTGGCTCCTCTGGACCTCAGTGGAGCCAGGCCGTCTGGACGGTTCACCTTTAGGGAGCATCATCATCCCCTTCTTGCCCACTGCCTCCCCAGGCCCCTGGGTTCAAGCTCGTCTCTCCTGTCTGAGGAGAGAAGTAGGTGCCTCCCCCAGGGAAGATGGCTGCCTGGAGTCAGACATGGTGGAGCTATGTGTGCCTGCTGCCTATGGGCAGCCCTGGCCAAGCCCTGAGTCTGCTGAAGGGACAGAGAGACCCTGGAGCCCTCACATCACCCTCAATCCCTGACTTCCAGGGTCAGGGCCTCACTGTGGATGGGTATGAGGCTCCTGTCCTTAGACTGGAGGCCTCCAGGGGTAGATGGCTTCCAGCTGGCCTGGCAAAGGCTGTTTTCCTTAGAATGGGACTGCCCTGAGGTGCCTACCTGCCCCTAAGACCCTCAGGTTCTATCTCCTCCTTCCCAGCAGTGTGGGAGGACCACTCCCTGGGAGCAGCTCCCCAGCTGGGGCCAGCAGCGTCCCCGCCCCAGGCTCCCCCCGCAGCCTGGTGCTGCCCGCGGGGCCAGGATTACCGACACATATTTCGAGCGAGTCCCGGCAGGTGGGGAGGCCCCCATGCCCGCGGCCAGGCATTTGCCAGCTTCCCTGGGCGGCAGCGGCACGTTTCACAGGGAGGAATGTGGACGTGCCAATGGGAGAGACGTGGACAAAGTGTCCCCCGGGAAGCCAGGAGGAAAACCAAGTCATAGGAGCCTGGTGCTCCAGCCTTAGGCACAGTTTGTCTTCATACCCCCATGCTCAGGTCTGGCTTTCCATCCATCACAGCCTCATGAACAGTAACAAAACCTCTGAGCCTTGGGGAGAGATGCAGGACCTTGCCTTCCCCTCTGACACAGGTGCTGGCATGTGGACGGGACCCTGGTCAACAGGACAGAGCTACATTGGGCCACTCCTCCTAGGGGTCTGAACTTGCTCACCCAGCAATAACCAGGCCCCCTATGTATGCACAGCCAGCCAGCTGGTCCTGGCAGCTCGCCCTCTCCCAGGTACCATGAATGGCATCTGCTCACATTCTCAGGAACCCTTGGATGCCCAGTGCCATTCTGCCTCCTCATCCCCTACAGCCTCTGCTCCCAGTGCCTGTGGGACCATATGGGCATCTGACCCCACCTCCAACTACCCACTGGTCTTGGTACAATGTGAGCGGTAGTAGTAGCCCTTTCCCCCCAACTTTGCAGAAGGCACAGGTGTGAAATTTTGTGCTGGGACTAAATATATGCTGAGGAGGCCTGGGTGCAGCAGCCAGCGCCATGAAGCCATGAGACCACTATGCTCCAGGCACCACAATGTATTGGGTCACGGTAGGCTTTGGCCTGTGGGGCCTGAGCCTCAGCTTCCATCCCAGTTGCATCTCAGGAAGGAGGTGGAGCTGCCAGGAGCTGAGCACAGGCCCCTCCCCGCAACAGCACTTTCTGCCACAGAAGGGTCTAGGAAGTTTACCCGAGTGAAATAGAAAATTGTGAGAAAAAGGAGGCTGCAATTTAGTGAAGGAGAGAAGGGTCAGGCAGCCCGAGATGTCTGGCATGCCTAGTCTCAGACCCTGGTGCTCTGACCCCATGGTCAGGCAAAGCTCCTTGGGTAGAACTGCTGGAAGCAGGGCCAGCAGGTGGTCCTGACACCCTCAGCCCTGGGCCAGCCCCTCATCTGTGAGTTTAACTGGGGTGTTCCTGCCCTTGCAAGCAATGGAAGTGTAGAAGAGGGGGATATGAGGGAGAGGAACAGAGACAGGTACAGGGGAAGGGGAGACCTCCTGTGCCGGTAGCTGCCCCTCCACCGGCCCTCCTGCTCCATGCTGCAGCCCACCACTCACAGGCCATGCTGTCCCTGGCCCTCCATGAAGTGTCCTCCCACCTGTGTTCTCACCGTACAAGCCCCTACCCTCCCACACCCTCCATGTCCCCTAGGGACAGTGTACCCTCGCCTGGGCAGAGACTTCACACAGTGTCACCTGTGGGGCCTTGAGGGGTAGAGGATACTCAAGCCAGGCCTGGGGCCTCCCAGGATGGTTGTGGCTGGTGTTTCAGGGCAGGGGAGGTTGAGAAGGATTTGAAGTTGGGGTCCCTGAGGGGTTTCTGTCCTGTGACATGGGAAGGCTGGCTTACATGTCAGGGGCTGAAAGAAGGCTGGACACAGGACTCACGCTGTCTGACCCAAGGCCACCAGGATGACCATGTTCTTGGTGGCTTAGGTTTGGTGCAAGATGGATCAGTGAGGGGGCAAGAAAGGTCCCTGGAGGGCTCTCAGGAGGTGGAGGACTGCTCCCTGGCCAAGAAAGCAGGCAGTGACCACAGCAGGCCATCCAGATGGCAGTGAGGGGTGGGTGCAGGAACTGAGGATGCCAGCAGAGGTGGCTGTGGTGGGGATCTGGTAGTGTAGCCTGGTGCAAGGAGCAGAGGGACTGGGACCCTGGCGAGAGTTACCACTAACACGGCTATAAAACCCTCTAGCCAGACCTGAGGGAGGAGGAGACAGCCCATATGCCCACAGCCTGTCCCAGTGGCACACAGTTGATACCCCTTTGGATGTGTGAGGGAGTAGGCCCTCACTGGGCACCCAGTTGCTCTTGTGGGTCTGCCTGGCTAGGGACATTTCCTGGGGTTCCTAACTGTCCGTCTGCCTACAGCAACCGACTAAGGACTCAAGGTACCTCTCCCCACCCTTCCTCCATCCATGCTACCAAGGGTTGTCTTCCCGGCCTTGCTCCCCTACATGCTGAATTGGGGAAGGGCAGAAGGAATGAGCCCAACCCAAGCCAACCTGTGTGTCCTGATTCTGCCGGTTTAAGGGGGCTTGGTGACCCCAGGAGCCTCCCCCAAAGGGGGGGTCTTCAGGAGATTCATCAAGTGTGGAATCCCACCGAGAGCAAAGGCACAGGGAGAAAGAAGTGAGAGGTTCCTGGAAGCCATCCACAACCATACCCAGTGGCTCCAGGAGCCCCTTCCCCTGGGGCTGAGGGAGGACCTGGTTTCCTCCCTCTGCCTGACCCTCCCCTGGACGGCAGGAGGGGTTTACCTGTTGGTGAGCCAGGTCAGGGACCCGTGGGGTTGCACGGGACTAGGACCCCTGGGAGTGGAGGGCAGCTCCCTTCTCTAATAAGAGCACCGGGCGAGGCCGTGTCCTCCCGCGCCCAGGAAGGTGCGGCAGTCGTGGATCCTAAATTAGAAGCCTGGTGCTGGATCCCGCAGTCCCTGAGCTTTCAAATGCAGTCTCCGGCTCACCCCCGGCAAAACCCGCGTCAGTGCCCGCGCCCTCTCGGGGCTGCACCCGGAGCACTAGATGTCGGGCGGTAGGTGCCGAGCGCGCCAGAACACGCTGGGGGACCCCCAGCGCGGCCCCGCGGCCCGACCCAGGTTCCACGCAGGGCCGCGTTCTGCCCCCGCGCCCCGCCCTGCCCTGCCCTGCGCCCCATCCCGGCTCCGTCGCTCCTGAAGCTTCTCCGAGAGAAAAATTATTATCGGATTAGATGTACTTGGGCTCGCTCGGTCTTCCCCTTCCCTCCGCATAATTATTATAATTCCAGCCGAGCCGTCGGGAGGACTCCCCGACTGGGGTCTCCGGGCGCCCGCATTCCTGCGCCGTGTGGGTCCAGCCTTGCACGGGGGCCCGGGGGAGGGGACCCGGCCTGGCGGCGTTGGCGGGGAGGGGGGTCTCTGCCGGGTCCCGCGCCCCCGAGGTAGGTAGCTCAGCTCCGCTCCGGAGGCCTTCGGCTGGGGACCTGTCCAACCGCCAGGTGCCTGGTCTGGGGCGGAGGGATCGCGGGATTACTAGGCAGCTACGGGCAGGCGCTCCGGGAGAAGCCCGGGAATCCCGCGCCGGGACGGCCCAGTGCGCCCTGCCGCCTGCTCCCCGCCCGGACCTGGGACTTTACGTAACCGCGCCGCCGAGCTGGGTCTTGTCTCAGCGACTTTGTTTTAGGTGTGTGTGTGTGTGTGTGTGTGTGAGAGAGAGAGAGAGAGAGAGAGAGAGAGAGAGAGAGAGAGAGAGAGAGATGCGGCCGCCGAGGACAGTACCCACTTACTTCCCCCTGCGCGCCCGGTTTTCTCGCTGGACGCTCAGCGTGAACCGTCGCTCCCTCTGACCTCGGACAGCTTCTCCCCGCCCGACGCCCGGGGCGACTGGACTCTTCCTGGCCAATTCCCCAGGCTCCCGGAGCTCACGTCCCTGGAAGCTCAGCCACCCGCGTCCCAGCCACGGTTCCGTCAGATCTAAAGCGGCGCTCAGAAGGACCGCTGTCCGTGAGCGGGGAGCAGGTTCCTGGCCACCGCCAGGGCTGTGCCCGAGGGGACCCGAGAGCGCGGGGCGGTCACTCACCACCAAATGGGGTAGCTGCCCAGGGCCGTTCCCAGGCTGCACAGTAGTAAGAAGTAGCTGGGCAGAGCCATTGCCAGGCGCGAGAGCGCGCAGGGCTGGAGTCTGCCCCGAGAGCGCGGGCGCCCGCAAGGGCTGGGCCCTGGGAGCTGCGGCTGCTGCGGCGCGGGGCCCTGCTGTGGCCGCGGGGTGCGCGGTGGTGTGCGCGGCTGTGCGGGCTCCGAGGGCGGCGCTGCGCCAGGTGGGCCGGCAGCCGGGCGGCGGGCCGGGGCCCGGGGCGGGGCAGCGCTGCGGGGGGCGCCCGCCGGGGCCCGGGCGGGGCGGGGCGGGCGGGGCCCTGGGAGCGGCGCAGGCCCCTCCTGCGGCCGTAGATGCGCGGGAGCGCTAGGGCTGCTGCAGGTGCGCAGGGCGCTGTGTGCGCCCGAGTGGAGTGTCCAGGTGTGCTCCGGAAGCCAGACGGGGTGGGTTGCACGGGCACCTAGGATGCAAGGCGAGGTTACGACGGCTGTGGGCGCCCCCGACCCCGTCTTTGGGGGTCCCTGCGTTCCCGTGGGGGCGCGCCATCTCTCTCACGCCCGCCCGCGTTTATTCCTTGTCCTCTGCTTCCTCCCTTGTCACCGTGCAGGGTCAGTGTCCACCATGGGAGGCCCCTCCCGCCGCTCCGGGTTTTTCTGCCTGCGCCCAGACCTTCTCTGCCTGTCGGCCTGTGGAGCTTCCAGGCTGAGGAGGGTTTGGGCAGCGCGATCTGACCTGGAGACAGTGGTCTGCTGGGAGGAGTGGGCTGTGTCACAGCCCAAAGATGGGTTCCTTCGCCTTGTCCCTGCTGCCCACAGGGTTGGAGGCCAGAAGCTCCTGGCGTCGGTAGGGGGCCTGGGTGGGGTGGACGAGGCGATGGGGAGGCCCCCAGACCTCTCCCATCAGCCAGAGAAGGCCCTGCCTGCTCAGATGCCGCTTTGGAGGTCACCCTTGTGGTCTGGGGAGGAAACCTGTCCCCAGGGAGCTGCCCCTGAGTGGTGTGGGCATTTTCAATCCCAGCTTGAGATTCAGCCTTTGCTTTTGTAGTCCCAGTCCTCTGTCTTCCTTCCCTTCAGTTCTAGAGGCTGGGTAAACAGAACAAACTGAGACCCCAGTGTAGCTGAGGGAGGAAGGACCAGCTCTACTTGCTTGCAGTCCCTCTGAGGCCCAATGAAGATCCTGTTAAATATTGTACTTCTGGAGTGGTGGCCAGGGCAGGATGGATGGGCACAAGGTTGTGCATACCCTGGAGGTGTTGAGCCCTCCCAAGGGCAGGTGTGCGCTGTGCTCTGGTCTGGCACCCTGGCCTCCTTTCTCTAGACCAACCCCACCCCTACCCTCCACTTTGTCGCTTGCATCCCTCCTGCCCCTGGGTGTTGGTGAACTCCTGCTGCAGGAGGCAGAAGTGGTGTTACCCCTCAGTTACAGCTCTGGGACCCTCTTGGGGTGTCCCTAGACACTGGAGTCTTACCTGTGGAGGTATCCCCTGGGGCAGGTTGCTCTTCCATGTATGAGGCCCCAGCCAGGGCCCCTTGGTGACCATGTCAGCCCTGAACGGCCTTCCTGGGGCTGGGTCTGGGTAGAATGAGAGGCACTGAGGCTGGAGCTCAGCCACCAGCTCTCCAGGATGAGACACAGGCTGTATGAGGGAGCAGAGGTCCCGCCTTACGCTTTGGCATCTACTAAGGATCCTGGCGTCTGGTGTGATAAGAGGGTGGCAGCAGCCCTATTCCCATGGCGCTAAGGTCCCAGGTAGCCTCATGTCACCATAGACTGAGCTGGGGTCCTAAGCCACTACCTCAAGTTGCTGTATCACAGCCAGGAAACATTCCTTTCTGTCAGGCTCTGGGGCCTGGCCTCACTGCTCTGGCACTGCACACTAGGGTACCTGCCCTCCCTGTGGCCTCAGCCTCCCAGGGAACTTTCATCTGCCACCACAGAGGGACATGCCTGGTCTGGCCAGAGCCCACACTAGGGGAAGGTGCTTGGTGACCAGGGGGTGGCCTTGGTCCGCCCCTTTGGTGAGCACATATAGGCACGGACAGGAGGAACTTTTATGGTCCCCATCTGTCTGGGTCTCCCTGAACCACCCCATTATAGCATCCATGCTGCCATGAGTGGGTCACCGCTGGGGCCCCTGGCCCCTGGATGCCCTGAATATGTGCGCTGGGTTCCAGAACATGCATCTGCTTACCTCCCAATTGACAGTTCGTTCTGAGAGCTGTCTTGTGCCTGTGTCTGCCCTCCTCAGAGATGGCCAGGAGACCCAGTAGGCACAGGGTCCAGATGCAGCTCCCCAACTAGTCCCGGCCGTGCACGCAGCGTGCTGGTGAGGACCTTGGCTGGTCGCGGGATCCAGAGCCTCAGAGGGTTCTGAGGATTTCCTCACAGAGGTCTATGTCTGGCGTCTGGCTTCGTGGCATCCCCGAATCTCACCAAGGAGCTGCTTGGGGATCTCTTTCAGCCACGGGCTTGCAAAGACTGCTGGTGCCTGACAACAGCGCCACCGCGTGGACGCGCGCGGCCATGGCCTGGCTGCCTTCCACCAGACCCTTGAGAGCCACAACTCGGGTCTCCTGTGAAAGCCAGGAACCTGGGTTTCCGGTGAGGTGCGAGGTTCTGCGAGGATTGAGGTCACTGTGAAGTGTAAGGCTCCTTGGAGGAGTGAGGTTCCTGGGAGGTGTGAGGTTCTTGTAATGTTCCCTGTGAGGTGTGAGCTTCCCTGTGAGGTGTGATGTTCCTAGGTGTGAGGTGTGCAGGTTCCTGTGAGGTGTGAGGCTCCTGGGAGGTGTGAGATGTGCAGGTTCCTGTGAGGTTTCCTGTGATGTGTATAGGTTCCTGTGAGGTGTGAGGTTCCTGTGAAGTGTGCAGGTTCCCTGTTTAGGCAAAGCCTGCAGTGGTCAACACCGCCACCATGTGGATGCACTAGGCTGCTGCCGCCAGCCACTCCTGGGATTCCAATCAGATTACAGTTCCCAGCAGGGAACCTGCAGTGCTTAGTGTGGGATGTGCATCCAGTGCAGCGAGGGAGCATTCAGGCACAAGAAGGCATCAGGACAGTGAAGGAGAACACCGGCAGGCAGCTTGTCTCCTGCACTGGAGCTGAAAGCACTGATCTCAGAGCAGAAGCGAGGTCACCAGGCTGGCAGAGGAGGCTGGCCAGCAGCTCTCACCACAATGAGGGGGAGGTGCCCCATGTCCTCTGTTGGCAGTATCCGAGGCCCACAGGAATCTGGCTTTTTCCCCTGGACTGGAGTATTGGGACTCAGCGGCCCCAGCCTGGTGAAGGCAGGTGGATGTCACTGCTTGCACAGACTCCCATAGGGCAGCCTAACCCCATAGTGCCTCCACGAGGCTGGCTGAGAAGGATGGCAGGAGCTAGTTCTGGCCTTTATCAAGAGGCAGGGGAGACGGGGTGGGGGTGGTGTGTTGGGATCATCTTAGTGTCTCCAGCCTGAGGGGGCATTCCCTGGTCAGCCTCCATGAACCCAGCTGGTCCACAGGGAGTGCAAGATGTGAGCAGAGGCAGGACACAGGGGCACCCAGTGCAAGGACAATCCGTTTGGAGAAAGACTATCTGAGGCCACCTCCCACCATGTCCACTTCTGGGAGCTGCCCTCATGACCAGGGGCAGAGCCTGACCTGGAACAGCCATTTCGGGGGTTCTCCGCTGCTGCTGCTGCTTTGCTGAGAATTTTTATCCAGAATCAGAACTTCGCTGACTTTCCATGCCTGTTGAGGCAGCTGCATTGTTTTTAGCTTTCAGTACATGCAATTATTTGCTGTCCATCACCCATGAGAGCTGTGTGTGTATGTGCAAAGTGGGTCTTAAAGTCCAGGTACAGTTTTTCATAGTATTTTCATGGACGAGGACCACTTGTATGTGTGTGTATGTGCTTCAAAATATTGTTTTTAAGATTTATTTATTTGAAGGATAGATAATTAGAGACAGAAAGATCTATCTGCTGATTCACTTCCCAATAGTGAGGGTTGAGTCAGACCAAAGCCAGGAGTCGGGAGCTCTATCCAGGTCTCTCCTGTGGGTGGGACTTGGGCTGTCCTCTGCTGCTTTCCTAGGCATATTAGCAGGGAGCTGGATAAGAAGTGCAGCAGCCAGGACTTGAATCAACACTCATTTGGGATGCTGGTGTCAGTAGCAGTGAGCAGCTTACTTTGCTGTTCCCCAACACCAGCTCATTGATTTCAAAATGTTTGGCACTATGATAAATTTATCTTTTCATGCCATCTTCCAGAACCTCTGAAGCCCCCTCGTCTCCCTGGCAGCCTGTGAGGAGTGACTCAAACATCAGCCCTGAAGGCCTCAGCCATTTTGGACTCTCTGCTGTTACTTTTGCACCATTCTGGTTGTCCACCAATGAGATGTAACCGCATGGCATCTTACCTGAAACCTCCACCCACCAATCTCTTGTGGACCCTCCCTCTAATCCCCACCCACTTACCAAACCTGTGACAATCACCTGTGATATGTCAGTCTCCAATCCCTGGGGCCTACTCACAGCCCCTCCCAACCAATTTCCCCACCCCCTACACACATACCTTCCAGGCTCACCTAGCTCTCCTCCACATTGCCCCTTCCCCTGCCCTGGCAGCTCCCCATCCTGCCACCATAGCAGGAGATGGTTCCCTTCTTGTTCTCTCCCTTCAACTGCACCGACCCCCATCCCCACTCTGTTTCTACCCTGCTGGGATAAAGGACCTCCTGAGCACCTTGCTGTGTCTGGAATTTTGGCTTGCAGTAAACTTATCGTGAAAAGAGGACTTGGCTGCAGGAAATTAGCTGCACATAAAAACTTAACCGCGGGGTCTGGCGCATTGCCCTAGTGGCTAAAGTCCTTACCTTGAACATGCCAGATTCCCATATCAGTGCCAGTTCTAATCTCGGCAGCTCCACTTCCCATCTAGCTCCCTGCTTGTGGCTTGGGAAAGCAGTCGAGGACGGCCCAAAGCCTTGCGACCCTGCACCTGTGTGGGAGACCCGGAACAGGATCTGGGCTCCTGGCTTTGGATCGGCGCAGCACTGGCTGTTGCGGTCACTTGG